GCCCGAAAAGGGGGCACGACCCCGGAGGGCCTGCCGACCACTGCATTAGAAGCTGGCAAACGCCGCACACATGCGAGGGTTAAATCGCTGAACCTGTGTTGGCAAATTCAGCTGCATTGCAGCCTGCTTCAAACTGCTAAATGTTTTATCGAGGATTGCGATAATAAACTAGCTGTTAAGAAATCATCGGAACTTGCAATTTATCGGTTACAGCTTCCATTCACAGCAAAACCACAATGAGTTATATCAACTGCACACATTTTCTCTTCAAAAGTCAATAGATTGTCGTTATCACAGCTGTGAATGCTTTTCGCTGGCATTGTTGAAATATTTTTCAATGCTCGCGTACCTAATAAAACACGCCAATAAATTTAAAAGGTTTTCTAATTTTATCATTACTTCAGTTGCATGGGATCTTTTACCACGTCAAATACTTATATTCTGATTTTTTTTTTTACAATAGCTTACTGTGCCGATCCCTCCTTCATCATCGCTCCTCTCAACTGGCTTTGTCCAAGCCGTTTGCCGATGTCTCACGATGTTTCCCCATCTTGCCCCGTATACCAGATCTAGGGAAGTGTTCAACTTTTTTAGAAAAGTCTCTAGATCAACGATCTCGTCCGTTTCCTCCCGTTGTTGCAATTTACGTTGTTGAACGGTCGTAGTGGGAACGCGGCCTAAGGAGAGGAGCGGCGGAAAGGTGAGAGGAAACGAGAGAGGATGCGACCTCAGGTGGGGTGAAGGTGAGGTGAGGCAAGTTGGGCCGGTGAGGTGAGGTAAGATGAGGTGAGGTGAGGTGAGATGAGGTGAGGTGAGGTGAGGTGGGTCGCGTAAGAGTGAGGTAATAGTGGAGGTAAGACGAAGGTGGGGCGGGTGAAGAAGCAGCATAAGGTGAGATGGTAGTGAATACAAAAGGTGAGGTCAGGTGATGTGAGGTGAAGCAGACCGTCGGCTGCCGGTTCTTACCCCATGCAGACAGCCGCTGTGCCGGTCCTACTGTCTTGACTTTTCCGCCAGACACCAGAACCGTACATCATCCGGTGGACGTGTTCCAGACGACGTTTTTTCCGCCCACAGCCGAGGCGGAACTACGAGTTTCAGTTACCAATCGAGCGACGGTCGTGATTGGTCAATTTATTTTCGATTAAGGCGGTGAGAAAGAATGGTTCATTTGTAGGCCTGATTCCCACATGGTCTCGAATGAATCGCACGCCGGCCCAGTAAATGAAACACCCGGCTTTGCTGGGATTGCTGGGTGGCAGTCAGGCCGCTCGCTGTGACCTCGCTGTGACCCGGGCCAATGCAGGAAGTGATTCGAGCGGCGGAGCGGGCTGGACGGATTTCTCGGCCGCCGCTGAGGTCCGACTGCGGCCGCTCAGGGGAGTGCGAGCCGCGCGGCGCCGGCTCGACCGTGACCGGCGCCTTTGTGGGCCGTGTCGAACCAGCGCGGCGGAACCACGCAGTGGAACCACGCAGCGGAACCACGCGATGGAACCGTGCGGCGCCGGGGCGGCGACCGAGCGGGCCGGGCTTAACGGGGACACGCGGCCACTCCTGTCCCGCTCCATCGGACTGACACCACCCCTGTGCGGCTCCATCGGACTGACACCACCCCCTGTCCATCTCCATCGGACTGACCTGACACCACCCCCTGCTCCATCGGACTGACACCACTCCTGTGCCGCTCCATCGGACTGACCTGACACCACCCCTGTGCCGCTCCATCGGACTGACACCACCCCCTGCTCAGTCGGACTGACACCACCCCTGTGCCGCTCCATCGGACTGACCTGACACCACCCCTGTGCCGCTCCATCGGACTGACACCACCCCCTGCTCCATCGGACTGACACCACTCCTGTCCCGATCCACCAGACCTGTCCCACTCAGAAGGACTCTGATACTATAACCACTTCCTGTATGTATTCTGACTCCTGCACCACTCTACACTCGAGAAGCCATTCTGAAGCTGCTGTGAGTGTCGTTTGATGTGTATTGTGTTTGATGCAGTCCAGATTTTGGTGGTATTGTAATTTGTACTACACGGGTTTGCAGTCTCCAGTGCTGGAGATACTGCATATGGACGGAGTTACGTCTCCGGTGATACTGATACATGCGAATTTAAGGTCTCCACTTCTAGTGCAGCTCGCACATGCAAAACTGCAGCCTCCAACATAAGAGATAATGATTACGGAGCGAGCGAAGCGAGCGTAGTCTTTCCTTAGATTAACGGAAATTTCTGAGTATGAGCGGCCGGCCGGCCGGCCGTGGTCACGCTTTTGCGAGGCTTATATCTCAGCAACCACTTGACCGATTTACATGCGGTAATTTTTGTAGGATAGCTTCATTCCTTCTATCAAGTATTGGACTATTCCCGATACATGTGGGTGACCCCTTATGCACGTGCCACGTGCAAAACGAAGAGGTGTCCGTTTTGTAATTGTTGCAATATCTCGGTAACTACTTGGCCGATTGCGCTGAAAGTTGGCATGTAGGTAGGCACCCACTAGGCACTGCATATCCATGTGCCAGAGTTGGGGCGCTGCTGCACGTGCGCACGTGCAGGGGTCGATTCCAGATCTCGAGAACGGCTGGACCGATGGCGCTCAAATTTGGCACATGGTTAGGGACCGGTTAGTAGGGTGCCATGCAAAAGTCAGTTGGGCCCCATTTTGCACGTGCGCACGTGCAGGGTGCCGCTTCCAGATCTCGAGAACGGCTGGGCCGATTGTGCTCAAATTTGGCACATCGCTAGAGACCGGTTAGTAGGGTGCCGTGCACAAGTCAGTTGGAGGTACCCCCTCGAAATTTCGCACGTGCAAGGCTCACCCTCTCGCTCGCTCCGTTAGTCGCCCCAAAAGGCGCTATACTGGTGTGTACGAACAACCGCTCCGAATGCTGAAATTACATTTGTGAGCAGCGGTATGGACTCCAGAGCTGGTGATATTGTTGTGTCCAGATACAGAGCTGGTGTATCACCTGAGTCAGCCTCCAGTGTTGTTGGTACTGTTGCATAAACTATCAATTGTTGCAGTCTCCGGAAAATATTGGTGGTATTGTTGAGTGATATACTGAAGTCTCTACCGTCGGTGATACGGCTTTGTTATTTAACGCAGTCTCCAATGCTGGTGATACTATTCTATGTTCCGTCGCAGTCTCCGTTGGAGGTGATACTGCTGGGTGCTAGGTCGCAGTCTCCAGTGTTGATGATACTGTTGTGTGTTATGTCGCAGTCTCCAGTGTTGGTGATACTGTTGTGTGTTATGTCGCAGTCTCCAGTGTTGATGATACTGTTGGGTGTTATGTCGCAGTCTCCGTTGTTGGTGATACTGTTGTGTGTTATGTCGCAGTCTCCAGTGTTGATGATACCGTTGTGTGTTATGTCGCAGTCTCCAGTTTGGTGATACTGTTGTGTGTTATGTCGCAGTCTCCGGTGTTGGTGATACTGTTGTGTGTTATGTCGCAGTCTCCAGTGTTGGTGATACTGTTGTGTGTTATGTCGCAGTCTCCGTTGTTGGTGATACTGTTGTGTGTTATGTCGCAGTCTCCAGTGTTGATGATACTGTTGTGTGTTATGTCGCAGTCTCCAGTGTTGGTGATACTGTTGTGTGTTATGTCGCAGTCTCCAGTGTTGGTGATACTGTTGTGTGTTATGTCGCAGTCTCCAGTGTTGGTGATACTGTTGTGTGTTATGTCGCAGTCTCCAGTGTTGGTGATACTGTTGTGTATCATGTTGCAGTCTCCAGTGTTGGTGATACTGTTGTGTATCATGTTGCAGTCTCCAGTGTTGATGATGGTACTGTTGTTACGGAGCGAGCGAAGCGAGCGGAGTCTTACGTAGAATAACGGAAATTTCTGAGTATGAGCGGCCGGCCGGCCGTCCGTGGTCACGATTCTGCGACGCTTATATCTCAGCAACCACTTGACCGATTTACACGCGGTATTTTTTGTAGGGTAGCTTCATTCCTTCTACCAAGTATTGGACTATTCCCGATGCATGTGGGTGACCCCTTATGTCGCAGTCTGCCACGTGCAAAACGAAGAGGTGTCACTTTTGTAATTGTTGCAATATCTCGGTAACTACTTGGCCGATTGCGCTGAAAGTTGGCATGCAGGTAGGCACCCACTAGGCACTGCATATCCATGTGCCAGAGTTGGGGTGCTGTTGCACGTGCGCACGTGCAGGGGTCGATTCCAGATCTCGAGAACGGCTGGACCGATGGCGCTCAAATTTGGTACATGGTTAGGGACCGGTTAGTAGGGTGCCGTGCAAAAGTCAGTTTGAACCCATTTTGCACGTGCGCACGTGCAGGGTGTCGCTTTCAGATCTCGAGAACGGCTGGGCCGATTGTGCTCAAATTTGGCACATCGCTAGAGACCGGTTAGTAGGGTGCCGTGCACACTGCACAAGTCAGCTGGAGGTACCCCCTCGAAATTTCGCACGTGCAAGGCTCACCCTCTCGCTCGCTCCGTTAGTCGCCCCAAAAGGCGTTATACTGGTGTATTATGTCCCAGTGTTGGTGATACTGTTGTGTGTTATGTCGCAGTCTCCAGTGTTGGTGATACTGTTGTGTGTTATGTCGCAGTCTCCAGTGTTGGTGATATTGTTGTGTGTTATGTCGCAGTCTCCAGTGTTGGTGATACTGTTGTGTGTTATGTCGCAGTCTCCGTTGTTGGTGATACTGTTGTGTGTTATGTTGCAGTCTCCAGTGTTGGTGATACTGTTGTGTGTTATGTTGCAGTCTCCAGTGTTGGTGATACTGTTGTGTGTTGTATCGCAGTGTTGAAGATGGGTCCAGTCCTGGTGAGAGGGAGTGGTCCAGTCTCCAGAGATATGGAGTGGGAGACTCCAGTCTTGGGGGTACTATTGTCTACATTGTTGTGGTCTTTGTTAGTGTTGCTATTCTGTGAACACTGATCAGTGAAGGGTTCTTGTCACAATGTTTCGACGTTACCGTCCCGCGGTATCCCCTCCCCCCTCCCCACCGGTCAGTACTCACCACATCGGCGGTGACGGGGGTGCCGGCGGCGATCAGCGCCTCCACCTGTTCCGTGTGACCGAGGCTGGCCGCCAGCCGGAGACGCTCCTCACGCGGCCGAGCCGCCGCGCCGGCAGCCGGCACAGGGCTGGCCATCAGAGCATGGCGCCCGGCCGGCCGCGCCTGCCAAACGGAAAACCCGGTCACTCCGCGCCCCAGCGCACAGTCGCCGGCACACACCGGAAACCGGCCAGCAGATGTCCCCAGATACCGGCGGCCGCCGCACGGAACGCCGCGTGCACGGCCGCCGGCCGACACCGGTCCGGGCAGGCACGGCCGCGCTGCACAGTGCAACAGACGGCGGACACGGGAGGCCCTGAGAAGGCCTAAAGGGCGGGCACACGCATACAAACACACACGTACACGCATAAATACACACGCGCGTACACACATACGCACTCGTGCACTCGCGCCCTCTCCACGCCCTATTAATATGCCCCGCCGCTCATCATAAAGCGCGTCGGAACGAGGCGGGCCTCCGGAGGCGCCCGGCGCCGCTCGTAAATATCAGGTGACGCCGGAGCACCTTTCAACTGGTCTGATTTGTGCGTGTCTTAATGGAGGACGAGGTAGACAGGTGCAGGGCGGCGCTGACGCCGGCTGGGCTGCAACGCCGCTCCTCCCGTCAGCTCGATACGGACTCAGGGAGGGGAGGAGAGGGGCCGGACAGGCGTGAACAGAGCAGAGAAGCCTGCAATGTGGCGTCAGACTCAGACCGTGCAAAGGCCTGACAAGGAGCCCCGCAACATGAGTTGGGTAGTACATTGAAATAGTCTTATCGACTGTAATCGAGCCTTAGCCCTTAGCCGCGCACGACTGGCACGATATAGTGAGTGGGACCGACCAGAAAGGACCGAACCGAACTGGGGAAGAATAAAGGCGACTGGCTATAGGCCAGACTAGAGATATGAGTGGGTGATCACACTCGGGCTCGGAAGTGATTCAGAGATAGTTCTCGAAGAGAACTAGAGAGAGAGAGAGAGAGAGAGAGAGAGAGAGAGAGAGAGAGAGAGAGAGAGAGAGAGAGAGAGAGAGAGGAGAGAGGATAGAGACCGCCCAGGCCGGGGAACGGTGGCTGTGGCCGAGGCGTGACGACACAAAGTGCCTCTTTGTCGGCGGGAAGCGGTATTTCCGGGGCAGTTAGCGGCGCCAGAGAGGAGAATCGCGCACGCCAGATCAGCTCCAGCAGGACGGCGCGGCTGGAGGCGAGTCGCCGAATCAAAATGACGCCACGAGGAAAACCCAAGGTTTACGAGCTTCGGCGGAGCACATACCGTGCAGGTGGATGAGCGGCGGGGAGCGGCCGGGGCCCGCCGGCTCGACTCGGGGTTCCAGAGAAATCTGGGATGGTGCACGAAACTCTGGGGTGGGCAAGGCATGAGTGACGGTCGCTGGCGATAATTTGGGCGTGTATTCAAGTCTGCATTGAATGACATCTCAGACACGCTGCATTAACTCTACTGGAGGCTCAGTAATTGGGTTTATGCGTAGCATCGATTGTGAAGTCTTTTGACAGATGATGCATGCTAGCATGGTATGGCAAGGAGCGTTGCACGAGAACAACACGCCGCACGCAGGGGTCAGGCAGACACTCAACACTTCATTGGCCACACTTATCATTCACGAAGTCTGGCTATATAGGCAAGGAAAATGGATCCCGTATATGGAATGTCACTCTCCACCAGATCTTTCCATAACTATGATGTTACAGACGGGGCAGGTGGGCCACACCGTCCTCAGCAGCTATCAGCTCTAATGACAAAAAGACTCCCCTGGGTGTCCCCGCTCGCCGCCGGCAGAGAACGGCCGCCGCATGTCATCATCTCATGGCGCTAACGATCGGTAGTTAATGGCGTCAGCGCCATCCAATCGTACCAGTATAATTTGCTGACGGACCGGGACTGGGAGGAGATGTCACTGACGGGCCGGGAGTGTCCTTGTGAGCGGCGGCGGCTGGAACTCCTCGGGTCGGCGCCGGGCGCGGCAGGCCCGCGGCTCGCCTGACCCCGCCGCGACCTCCCCGCGCCGTCGGCGGCCCAACAGCGCACGGAAGTGCTTTCCCAGCCTTCCGCGACCCGCTGTGGCGTGCCCGGGTCAGACACACCGGTAAACACAGGCGGAGGGATGTGGTTTCACAACCCCAGCCGCCAGCCGGCCGTTTCGCCGCCGCTCACGGCCCGCGCCGGTCACCGCCTCGCGGGCGCCACTGTCGTCGGCAGCTGACCAAAAACGGCGGCCGGTGGACGGGCGCGCCGGTCCGACTGGGGCGGCAGGAGCCCCAATGACAGCGGCACGACCGCCGACCCGCCCACCTGAGTCAGCTCACCGACCCGCTTATTATCCGTCCAGTCTACCACCCTGCTCAGTGCTCAGAGCTCACACTGACTCGCCTCCCAGCTCACCGACCCGTCCACTGCCCTCCTCAGAGCTCACAATCACTCACATCTCAGCTCGCCGTCAGCTCACCGCATGAGACCGGTCGGCGGTGAGCCGCCATGGCTCACCATGGCTCACCATGGCGTCTCCGCGCCGCCGCTGAGCCGGCCGCACCTCATCATCCGCACAGCACCTCCGGCGGCCGGCCGGACGGGTTTAATTACGTCTCTGGCCGCCGGCGGCCGGTCCGAGGTCTAAACTGGTCCGCCGTCTCTGCCGGCGGCGCGCCGCACCAGAGCGCCGCTTCATTGAGACCGGAACGGGCCGCCGATTGGTCGAACGGACGGAGACGTCTGTGGTCCGGGGATGGCTGTGGTCCGGAGACGGCTGTGGTCCGGAGACGGCTGTGGTCCGGGGATGGCTGTGGTCCGGGGATGGCCGGAGATAGCTTCGGTCGGCGGCTGTCGGTCGCGCCGGACAGCCAGACACCGACCGAGCGGCGGTTCGACCCGGCAGTCGCTGCTAAGGTCATTCAGAGGTCGGCCGGCACCAGCACATGCAGTCCGAGTCGAGAGTCCCAGAGCCCGGGCTCTGCCTGTAGGTGCTGGACCGTCGAAAGGCACAAGAATCGGACCCCGCTGACGGTCGCGAGGTATCTCGGCAGCTCGGTCTCGGCAGGTCCGCCCGATCTCGGCACTGGATGGCCGATGCCAATCTGCTCACCCACCCTGTGTCTGCGGCAGCTCGGTCTCCCCGGTCCGGCCGGCGCCGTCCCTCGCAGCACCAGTAAATCGTCGTTGACGCGGCATCGGGCGTCGGCGGGCGCCCCGCCGCGCGGCGGCCCTGCCGGCCTCGGCCTCATGGCCGCCGCTCGCCACCACTGACCGCCCGGTGACGTCACTCCCGGAGACCGGTGACGTCATCTCTACCGGCGGTGGACACTGGCCAGCCGCTGACGGTGAGGGGATCGTGGGTACGTTGACTCGGAGGCACCGCCGGCAGCCGTGACGCTGTCTCGGCCCGCGCCGGTCCCGTGACGCCGTTTCAGCCCGCGGCAGCCGCTCCCACGCCGCTCGGCAGCCGAGCCCAGCGGCCTTGGGCGCCGCGCCGCCGACCGGCCGGCACTCCGCGAGATATACAGCCGCCAACCGGCCGGCACTCCGCCAGATACAGCCGCCGACCGGCCTCTCCGCCAGATACAGCCGCCGCCGAGCGCCCACCCCTCCCAGCCGCTGTGCCGCCGGCCACCTTCGCGCCGACAACCAAACGCCGCAGTCATGACGCAACGCCACTTTTTCTGTCATGTTCCTCTCCATAATAACGTTCAAACACAATGTTCGCGAGCTTTCAGCGCTGTTTTGCAAATGGAGTTCGGTTATTTTCACATTCCGGCTGTCAATGTGGCAGACCGCAGGCCTTGTTACCCGTCTCGCCGCGCGGCGGTGCTATTCCCAGACAGCTGCTGCGTCCCGGAGCCCAGAACTACTGTACAGGAGTATCGTGGAGCTCCCAGGACTGCTATCTGGGGACCTGGCGGAACTCCAGTGGCTATCGCTCACACTCGGCAGCTGTTCAGCTACCTCTCAGCGCGTCGGCCAGCCCGGCCGGAATTCGTCGGATTCCGGTCCACTCGGCCGCTCGTAAACAAACACGGGAGATGGCCGCGCGATCTGTCGGACGGGTATTTTGTTTTGACGCGCGGCGCTGGACGAGACGCGTGCCGGGGGTTCTGGAGCGCGCGCCAGCAGCGATGGGAAGCCGTGGTACGGACTCGGACCCAGCACTGGCTGACTGGGCTGACTGACTGCCGGCCGGCACAATACGGCCTGTGAGAGGCTGTGATTTGGTCTGGACGCCGCGCTGACCGGGCTGACCGACTGCTGGCCGGTACAGCACAGCGGGGACCGCCCAGGCGGGGAGCTGCAAACAAGACGTCGGCATACCGCGCTTCAAACCCATCAGATATCGGTCGCCGGCCTGTGAATCTTAGCCTGCAGTCGACTAGTCACTGAGCCCAGCCGCTGTCGCACGGGCGCACAGCCGCGCCTCGGCCGAGTGTGGGAACATCTCCGCTCCACGTGCGACGCCGCCACGGAAGCAAGATCAGCCGGCAGATTGCCGTGAGATTATTCAGCACGCTACCGGCCGGGGAGCCGGCGACCGCACTGCTGCAGTGGGGAAGCCGCAGCTGCAGCGCGGTCGGCCGCTGCACCGACCGTGATAGTACAGACCGCTGACAGCACTGTGTGCGTGTTACCGGCACTGTCCGACCGATCTGCCGTTATCTCACAGACAGACAGACAAATGTGCGTCTAACCAGCACTGTCAGATCAACACACCGTGATTCCAACGACGGGCAGCCGAGCTGTACTAACAACCGGTGCAGTGTCCCACCAAACTACACGCGGACGGCATGTTGTCACCACACCTGCTCAAATTCTGGCAGTGTCAGTGCGTCTCCAAGTCTGACGCCACAGCCGAGGATAAGGAATGACCGGTCCTAAAACGAGCTGCTGATTTACGGCCCGACCGCCACCGCAGACGGCGAGGCGATATTTCTGGGCGAGACGGGTCGGACGGCCGCTCACCGGACACATGTCAGCGCTGTCCGGTGATCGGCTCTGCGGATTGACTCATTACCGGAGAGGTGGCGGTCATTCCCTAACGAGGTGTGCGTGAGGTCGCTGACAGGTAACAGCCGTCCGGAGCGGGCAGGAACCGCCCTCTCCCGTGACCGGACCGCACCA